GAAGGTTTGATTCCTGGTCAGGGCTCATGCCTGGGTTGCAGGCCAGATTCCCCGCAGAGGGTGTGTGAGAGGCAACCTATGGATGTTTCTTCCACACGTCAATGTTTCTGTGCTGCTTTTTCTCCCTCCCTCCTACCCTCTCTAAAAAATAAATAAAACCTTTAAAACAATAGTTCTTAAAAAAAAGATTGTTTATTACCTCCTGGGTACCTGGAGGAAGCTGCCTCAGAGTAAGCTGCCTCCAGGTGATGATCTGATTTTCTTGGAAATGTGGAAGAAAAAGGGGAAGGATTCAACTTTTGTTATTTGTACAGCTTATCTTCAGGAGCCAAAAATATGTATTTAGCATTTTAAGAATAGCTCTTTGTTTGACCTTTTCAGTAATTTGTCATAGAGATTTAATTTAGATGAGAACTTGGTGGGTGTTTTTACTTTAAATGGAGTAATATTTTTCTTTAGAAATCAAAGATTATGTCACAACTTGAAAAATGCAATTTTCAAAACACTGGAATTCTATTTTTCTCATGATTATGTATTTTCTAAAGTCTACATAAAAATCTGACCTCTCCTCTTTCCCGACAAATTTTACTTACTTAACAAGGATGAAGGTTTATGAGGAGAAATGTCATATTATAAATTCACAAATTTAATATTCTTACCACTCAAGACCAATGGACAGTGGTTAACTGAAACTGTGGAAAGCAAAACCATGGGTAGGAGGGGATCACTGTATGTCATTTCTCTTTTGGCTCTGCAGCACAGGGGAAGTATGGAGTAATGGAATACTTAGGTGGAGGATCGGAGGAGAGCCCCCAACAATGGTGATTGTTAAATCTGCCTTGGGTAGCAGGTGGTGCAGGTATCGTTAGGTATGGAGACACAGGAAGGAACGATTTAGGACTCACTCTCTCATGCAGGCAGGACCAGAAAGGACCATGATGGAGTGCGTACGTGGGTTCAGGTAGCTGTAAGCCATGTGTGTGGGGCCCAGGATGAGGGCCTCATGCTGTCTGGTTGGGAAGTGGTTGAACAAGCCTTCAAAGAGAAGGAAATGTACCAGCTGGGCCCTTTAAAATATGAATGGAACTTTGCCAAAGAGAAAGAAATGGGAATAGTGTTCCAGGAAGGGGGAGGTAGGCAGGACTTGAATGCAGGCCAATGGTACAAAAGGGCATGGGAGTGTTCAGGACCTGCCAGTTGACTGATGTGGTTGGGCGGAGATGTGTGTATGGTGCAGTGGTGTGCTAATGTTGGGGACGATGGCCCCAGTGGTCAATGAGTCACAGGTGTGGGGTCTGTTTGGGAAGAACTTCGATTGCCATGGGTAACTTGCAAAGGAGTTAAAACTTTATTCCCTGTGGATGTGAAACCTCAAAGTTTTAAGTTGGGTAGCAACACAGTCAGATCTTTGCAGTCGCAGATCAGAGATAGCAGATGAGAGGTGGGCTTGCTGGGGGCAGAGGAGCTGGGAGAGAGAGTGGGAGTAGCCCAGAGTGACGTAACTGGAGCCGCGACCAGAGCAGTGGTGTAAGCATGGAGCAGACAGGCATCTGAGAGTCTTTTTAATGGAAGACCTGAATATACTTGATGATGGAAATGAGAGAGAGGGCTGAAATAGGGTTCTAGGCTACAGTTACGGGATCAGTAGAAATGAGAGAGAATAGACAAGAGAGAAGTTTTGAGATGAATCTGCTGTTTTTCTTTTATTTTGGTTATGGTGCTCTTGAGAGGCTAGTCAGGGATGTATCTGGAAAGACCCAGTAGGCAGTTGGAAAGATGAGATTTGCACATGAGAGAGACTAAAATTTCAATAAAGGTTAATAACGGGCCTTGAGGAGATAGGCAGAAACTAGAAACAACAGATTTTCCAGGGGGAGAGTATAAAGTAGGATGAACAGAGGGCGGAGGGTGCAACCTTGGAGATCACTGACATTTGACGGGAGGAAGAGGAGCAGGTGAAGATGGAGAGACAATGGTGGAAGGTGAGAACTGTGCCGTAGAACCCAGAAGAACAGAGAGTTTTATGAAGGAGGACAAGACCCTCACAGGCCACACAGAGAACAATAGGATGAGCACAAGAAGAAGCCACTGGAATAAGCAGTGGGGAGACCCCACCCCCTAGGGGCCCAGATCTCCTGATTCCAGTGCAGCGGTGGAGAGGGGGGGAGTCAGACTGCAGAGAGCAGGAGGCCTGGGTGCCAGGTGGGAGCTGGCCACCCACAGGCTGCCATTTCAAGATACAAGTGCAATTCAGTCTGGCTGGAAGGCTCTACATTCCATTTTAATACACACTGCTTGTACTTCACAGATGATAGAGTGAAACTTGCTTTGACCTCTTTGTATTTTAAAACTTTGTAATTCTCTGTCCCAGTTTATGTTCCTAGGGAATTTGTGTTTTTTTTTGGGGGGGGGGGCGTTGTTTGAAGGTTTTATGGGCTCTCAAGCAATTTTTCTTGCACGTCTTCCTTCCTGCCACCAGCCTCCTCCCAGCCTACCTCTCGCAGAGACACATGGACACACACACCATTTTGTTGTGTAATTACACTGAAAGTGCCCAAACTCTTCATTCATGAGTTTCTGTTTCTGATGTTTTTAATTAGCTTTCCTGGAACAGGGGAAGTGTCTTCAAGTGATTTCTATTTATTGCAAGAGCAGTAACCATTTATGCTAATCTTATGTCCCTTAAGAAGACCAGAGAGCTTTGTCTTTGAAGAGCTTGAAGAAGGTAAATTAACATTGTTTGGCTAAATGAGGAAACAGGTGGATTTGCCCACTCAGGGAGGGTGGCAGCTCTCCAAAGGCAGCCCCACCTCCATTTCTGGCACCTTCCAGGCAATGAGGAAGCACTTTTCCCTTATAGCTCCTGATAGCTACAGCTAAGCACAGGGCACCTCTGTGCTGGCCGTAGACCATCACCATTCATATCGATCCTGAGGAAGCAGGAGCGAGGGTGGGTGCCGAGTGGGGTCTGCCAGCAGTTCTCGTCCGAGCTCTGGCAGCCTGGCGGCCACTGCTAAAGGGCTTCTCCACCTTCTGGAAAATGGGCGTAGTAAACCCAACAGACTCAGGAGAGAAGCCACTGCGGTGATGTCAGCATCAGGGGCCTGAGTGGCAAATAGGGAACCTGGAAACGAATGCATGGGGTTCCGCAGCCATGGCGTTGGGATCGTAATGTCTCCTTACTGGTCTTCTCTCCAGCATTGGTCTTGTTCCACCTCCTGCAGGATAGCAAGAGGGAGCACGTGCATAGTCGTCCATAGTTGCTTCCATCTGGGGACCCTCCCTGACATTGAGATGAATCCATCTGGGTCTGTCCCTGAGACAGAAGCAAGGGGGAGGGACAGCTCCTGGGTTGGGGGACTCCCTGACGTTGTGTGAATTGGCTTTTCTGAGCAAAAGCCGTTGGCAGTAGCCAAGTGTTATTGGGAATGCCCTATTCCATATATTGCTCTGTGATAAATCCGTCATGGGTTTTCATGTATTTATATTTCAGAATGGCTCTTCTGGCTGGTTCTGTGTGAGGCATGAGGAACGGTGAGGGGAGAATCCTACTTGGCCTGTCATGTGTGAATTTGGGCAGAACATCTTAGTTCTGGCATTTTCCATATGGTTCTCTGTGCAATGCCCATCCTCTGCCCCGCAGGTTTATATAATTAGGTACAGACTTGAAGACAGACGGACTTCTCTCAGGGAGTCTGTGTTCCGGTGGGAGCACTGTTCCAAACATGCAGTTAATTGTACTGAGTGGGACGAATTCCTCTCACTGGAAAAGATTTTTAAAATATCTGTTTGTCTTCCTTTGGTCCATGACAGATGCATATCCCTTCAAATGGCAAAGGAGAGGGAGGGAAAAGTACAGCTTTGGCATCTCTGTGATGTGGGCTGAAGAACAAAAGCCCCCGAGGCACTGGTATTGGGAGGACATTGGTCTTTCCAGTGGTTTCTTTTGATGCACGGGGCGGGGGGGCTGTCTCTCATCATAACTGTGTGGAAGCCATGTTTAGTGTCTCTCTGAGGACAGAAGAGAAAATCTAGGGACAGAATGACTCAGTGGCTTGTGGTTTTCCTAGACCCGTGTGCACAGATCCAAGTTGCCGACACCTGGAGTGGACCATGGAGGAGCCTGTTTTTGTTTCAGAGTCACTGGGGATATGTTGCCCTCAGTCTGAGTGTGGCTCCCAGGCCCTGACTCCTGGCAAGTACAGGACATGGCAGCCGGGGGAGCGAAGACGGCCACGGAGGCCCTGGTTCCGGGGCTCACTGACCACAGGGGCCTCTCCAGAGAAATGGGCTGTCTGGCTTGAGTCCTGGTTACATTTTCAGCTCACTGCCCTGCTCTTGCAGAGTTAAAATTTCTGTTTCCAGACAGGAGAGTCTCCCCCAGTCAGGGCTTCGTTTGTCTTTGTTTTGTTTAACAAAGAAGCAAGCCTCTTTGTTGAAGACTTGCATGCCCCTCCCTACCAGTTAATTAACCCCATGTTAATTGGGTTACATGTTGCACCGATTCACATTTTGGTTACACCCTTACATACCTGCGATGTGCAAAATTAAATTTTGCAAAGCGCTCTTAAATTTTCTTGGGGTGAAAAGGCCTGCTAGGAATCTCGTCATTTTAGTATGAGTCCTGGTCTCCTTGGAGTGGGGGTGCAGACAGCTCAGATGGGCACAGCCTTTCTCGTAGGAACCTTGCTGGGAGCTTCTCTGTTTGCTCCCAAGTGACCAGGACAGTATTGTCCTACTGGGGGGCAGGCGGCACAGGGAGGCAGCCAAACCCACGTGGACATCGTACGCCCCTCTGCGTGAGGGCACGTGTACGTGTGTGTGCTTGTTTACTTAAAGAAGCTTGGTCGGGAGTGATGCTGGATAATGAAGTAACAGTAGTGCAGGCGGTGTTGGTGTTGCTGTTATCGCTCAAACTTCGGTAGTGGGATTAGAGGAACCATTGTGGAAACCCACACTCCTGAACCTAAACTTCTCTTTTTCTCCCTCTTTCTTCACAGCGGGGCATTTTCTGAAGTCGTCTTAGCCGAAGAGAAGGCAACTGGAAAGCTCTTTGCAGTGAAGTGCATTCCTAAGAAGGCGCTGAAGGGGAAAGAAAGCAGCATAGAGAATGAGATAGCCGTGCTCAGAAAGTAAGTGCCGGGAGGCACCGCCTTCTTCCCCGACAGCCTTGGGGTTATCGGTGGTCCCTAATCCACGGGAGGGAGGAGGCTGCGGGTGCTGGGTTCCCAGCAGGGAGCGGGTGGGCTCTGTGAATGATGGCTGACACTCATGAAGTACGTTCAGAGCAATTTTCAACTATACGTCCATGTCTTACAACGTTTGCAGCAGTGGTTTGAGGTAGTTGTTATTTTTTTCCTAATGTCATAGCCCTCAAGTAGACTTGGGTTTGAACTAAGACCCTGACACTCACTCTAGCGGGTGACCTTGGGCCAGATACTGAGTTCTGAGCCTCCTCTGTCAAATGAAGTTAATTGTAACTCTACGTACTGTCTCAGGATTAAGGGAAGCGGTATTCCACCAGTGTTTGCAAAGTGCTTTCAATAGCACCTGCTACATAGTAAGTGCTCACTAAAGAGTGGCTGCCATCATCACTGCTACTAGTATCGTTGTTGTTGTGGCTTTATGTTAGAATGAGGAGATGAAGCTCAGGGGACAGAGTCACCTGTTCAATGCCTTGCAGAGCCCAGAGTGCCAACCTCGCCAGTGTTATTTCCACACTCTGATGGGTCTTCCTTTCTGCCACACATGTGGCACCCAGAAAGTCCCATAGAGTTCAGATGTAAGTGCTTTACCTCTTCACTGAGCTTTATTTTTGTTCCTCGTGTGGAATAGAACTGAATCCAAATCTCAGCCTCAGTCTAATGGCACACGCAGGAACATTCCAGTGTGGCTGGACCCCCCGGACGATGACCTCCCATTACTGTGGTGTCCACTGTGTCTCACAGGGTTCGGGGGAACAAACCCTTATATGGTACCTGCTTTTCCCTGTTTGGAGTTGTATCTGAGCATTGTGCTGTGAAATTTTTAAGAACTTCTATTAATAAAAGATGTTAGAAATATCCTTGAAATTTTTGGGATTTGGAAGGAGCTCAGAGCAAGAATCCTGTCCAGATAAGTGAAATAGAGAGGGAACAAGCCTTGTAGGGCCTTAAAACAGAATGTCACGCCCATGCACGCTTCCCGAGTAACCCAGCCACCCCCCACTCCTGTCTCAGGGACCAACAGTGCCCTGTGCACGCTGCTTTGCTGCCATCAGGACGAGCCCGGCACCACCACGGTGGTCGGGAGGGAGAGTCCGTCCTGTTCCCTACCGTATGCGATATGCGTTCAGTGCCTTGAAGAGCTGAACAGGTCTTGGGCGTAGGGTTTTCACTTATTTCTTTGGTCGTTTACATGGTTTCTAGCTTTCCTGGATTGTCTATTTGGGACGAAAGAGTTTCAGATTGTCTGAGGACTGCATGGCATGATTCCATGGAAGAAAATTGGGGAAAACAAGTTACATTAGTATCAAGCAGGGAAACTATGTTCATGAAGCATTTATTTAAAATTTCCAGTATGAAATCAACACTTGGAGAAAAGGGTATTTGCTAGGTATTAAGTTGCTGCCATGTTGCAAACATTTGACATTTGAGGTGGAACTCTAGAGGTGGGCCCAACGCCTTCCAGAGGCTCTGCTTTGGGCGCAAGGGCTGCCCACTGCTGGATCGAGGTGCTGCCCTTATTTTCATGTGACTCCTTCACTGGCCTAGGAGCCACAAGTCCAGGGAAGCCAGTGTGGATTTTCATCTGCATGGGCAGGGGGCGTGGAGGTAGACTTTGTGCATTATGCTGGCTATGCTGCAGTCATTCTGCTTTTTAATTAGTGTCTCCGCCCCTTGTCTCCCTCAAATCATCAACTTTGCCAAGGAGACGGGTTTAAACAGCGAGGGCAGGACTGCGAATAACTCATTCTGATAGTTTCACCCTGTCAGCTTTTGAAATGTCTTGAAACATGACCCCTTCTGTTAGGAATACAGAGCAAAGAAATGAGATAAGAAGATGTTATATGTCCAGGACTGATATAGATATATATATATATGTGTGTATATATATATATATATTTTTTTGGTCCTTTACAAATAACTTAGAAGTGGAATAAGAGGCAATTCCACAACATAACTAGCCAAAAGCAAAGGATCTGAGGTGTAAAGAAATGGTTTGGGAACCACTGTTAGAATGCCGTCATTGAAACATTTCATTCATTGAACCAATATTTATTCAATTCCTGTGCATCAGCAACCATACTAGGCACAGGAGTTAAAAGGTAAGATACAGTTCTTGTCCTCCAGGAGCTCATGGCTGTGAGTAAGTGTGATGGCGTGGATGCTGTGAGTGAAGTTTGATTAGGGGCTCCAGGGAAGGGCTGCCCAGCTTGTTCTTCAGGCTGGGGATTGAGGAAATGTTTTGAGGTGGGCCCAGAAAATGAGAACATTCTGCTGGGGGTGGAAAGGCAGAGGGACATTCCACCAGAAGGAATAGCCCAGGTGAGGAGATGGGAGGCAGTCCAGGTGCTGGGAGCTCAGCAGACTGGAGCAGGGGGTTCAGGGTGAGGCACGGGAGACTGGAGGTTGGAGAGGTCAGACCATGGGGGCTTGTATGCCCCACTTGGTGCCTTAACTGTCATGCTATAGACAGGAGGGAGCCAGTGAAAGGTTTTAATGAGATGGGTAATGTGATCAGGATTCTGTCATAAAGATCACTGTGGCAGGACATAGAAGGGCAGATTGGAGGGGCAAGACTCAGCACAGGGGAGAGCAGTTAGGAGGCCACTGGAGGAGTCTGGGAAGCAGCACATTTAAGTAGGAGCTCGGGTTCGGATAGAAGAGACAAAGATGAATGTGTGTGCAAAATGGGATCGTTAGGATTTAGGGATTTGGAAGGAGTGGGGAGACGGTTTGGGGAGATAGCAATCTAAAATAACCACCAGGTTTCTGAGTGGGTAACTGGGTGGATGATGACCTTTTTAAACTGAGTTGAAACACACAGGAACAGGAGGGCTGGTGGTGAGTTCCAATGTAGACATGCTGAGTTTGAGGCCTTCAGGATGCCATGTGGGGATGACCAGTTGACTGTGGAGGCCTGGAACTCAGCTGTGCCCTAGGCTTGCTAGACGATTAAGATTTCTGAAACAACATACAAAAAGTATTTGGTACTTTCCATAACTAAATCATTGTAGATAAAGTCCCAGAGACCTGCTTTGTTCCAAATTCTGCCATATACCCTGGTCATTTGTATATTTCTGTGCTATTTTTCTTCCAAGTAGGCCCATCTGAGAGACTGCTTGCTGTTTTATGTGCTGAATTTATTGCAGAGTGAGAGATTTATGAGTGTTCTTGGATTAAAGTAATGTAGCTAATATATCCTTAAGGATGTCTTTATACTTGTTCTGAAAATAGCTCCAAAATGAATCTTTATCTTGATCAGTGGATATTAAACCAAGCTCAGAGGGAAGAGAAGGTGTCAAGCATCGTGGAGGGCAGGCGCCGTGCACCAGAGAGCTGCTGTCTGACCGGACATCCTAGGGGCAGGGCATGCATGACTCAGCATGAGCGTTCCCCAGTGGGTTGGTCAGCTCTGGTCTCAGGATGGGGTGTTTTGTGCATTCGGGACTGTCACATTATCAGGGTCATATATCCTGGTTAAATTATGGAGCTAGAGTTCCTGTGCTAGTATTTACTTACAGGGCAGACACTGTCCAAATCTAATTTCAGGGAAACACATACAGCATTTTTCAGAGAACTAGAAATGCAAATATATAAAAAAACAGTCTGCATCTAAGTGAGAGATGAAGGGAGAAAGAGATGCATAGGGCTGGAAAACGGAGGCTGAGAGAAGTCACACAAGTGGATCTGGAGTAGCCCTTTTCCTAATAGTTGGGGAAACTGAGGCTCAGAGTGGTTAAAGAGGCACTGTCTGTCTGGAACATGGCGCCACAATTCAACACCGTCCTGATGGTTGCCTTGTAGGCGCAGAGATTATCTCTCCCAGGAAAGGGGCCTGGGTAGGAACTGCTCTTAAATTGCATGCTTTCCTCCATCTGGGCACACAGGGCTCTCAGGGGATGGTCCCTGCCTTTTCCCCTCTAAATCAGTGGTTCTCAGCCCTCGTTGCATGTTAAAACCATCAGAACGTCCTGATGCCCAGGCCCCATCCTAAACCTATTGAGGTAGAGGTGGAGGTTCTGGTGGGCATCAGAGATTTTACCAGGCAACCCCTCCCCCGACAGTGATTCCAACGTGTGGCCAAGTCAGTGTTGAGATCAGCTGTTCTGGGGTCCTTGCCTCCTGCTCTCACCCCCAGGGGGTAGAGCCTCTCTTTGTGTGTCCAGGAATATGGAGGGATGGGCAAGACGTGTACACACACAAGCACACCAGACATGTTTTGTTTAAGTGAGAGGTTCCACTTAGAGGACTGGATTCATTATCAGAGGCGGAATTGGCCTGCGTCCACCGTCCAGTCAGAGCAGAGCAGATACCTGCCACTGGGTGGATTTAAGAGTCGGAACATGACTCTTTGAGGCTGGTGTTGGGGTTGACCAGGTGCTGAGCCCATGTCAGGGGGGGAGCAGAGCTGCTGAAGGTAGTTAACGCCAGGGCCCAGGCGTCCCGTTGGCTAGGGTCGGCAGGGGGTGTGGTGGGCTGGGCCTTCTGGAGGGAGAGTGAACCCAACACCTTAACCAGGTGAGAGCAGGACTTCAGAGGCCTGGGTGTTTCTTGCAGTAGTGACTTGGTTCTCTGGTTTTCTTAGATTAGGCAGACATGCGTCTCGGCAGATGGACTAAAGCAAGGTGTCAAACTCATTTTCACCAGGGGCCACATCAGCCTTGCAGTTGCCTTCAAAGGCCGAATGGAATTTCAACTCTGTAACAGTTAAGGAGTAGTTACATTTATACAGTCCTAAAATTACATTCTGCCCTTTGAAGGCAACTGTGAGGCTGATGTGGCCCCCAGTGAAAATGAGTTTGACACCTCTGGACTAGAGGGAAGGCAGCTTTAGGACCTGAAGGAGCAGACAGCTGGTTTCGTATTAAGTAACAGCCTTCAGAGAATGACTTCCCTGTAGATTAACTCATTTAAATCTGGCTTGCTTC